CAATGGGCCAGTGAGTGTCTGCTCTCTATCTCTCCGCTCCAACCCACTCACTATGCTTCACTGTTACGCATCTAGAGCAAACAGGGACAACAACGGCAGAGCAGGGTCGTACAACTTTGATGGCCCGCGGACCCCACGCCGTGTGGGAATGGCGTGCACGATGTGTCGGGGTGCGTCCATATTTTCCACGGGTATTCGCGACAATTGAATTTTAGTACGGCAGCCCGGAAATTGAGGTGCAGTATGTGAAAGGAATCAACGAAATATAAGCGGATTCATGGATCAATTACCTGTGTAGACGGGAGGCGCCCTCAGTGCACACGTTGTGAGAAGAGAGGCCAGGTCTGCATATACATCGAAGTGTACGCATTTGTTTCGGGTGTATATGGAGACAGCTGCTCATTGCCGTCCTTTTGCAGGTCGAAAGATGTCAACGTGAGGCCCAAGCGTGGAATCGGATCATCCTTTTGAATTTAATTCGCAAACAAAAAACATCTTTTTGGGTAAACGAGCTGTACGATATCATACGGGAAAAGGAGCACATTTGGGTGGTTCCGGCTCTCTAAAGTAAGCGTCGGTTATTTAAATATGCCGCAAAGGGACAAACTAAGGAACTTACGGGAGAGTTACACGACCTGGACGCTGCCCCAGATCAGGGCCGGATTGAAGGCGTCCAAGGCGAGCCCCTGCGTAGTGTATGCCTTGCGGGCAGCGTGAGCGACACCGCTGATAGCGACAGCAGAGAGCGCACTGAAAAAAAAAAATGGAATCAGGGCGGGGAAACAATATTTTTTTGGCAGGGAAACGGACTGACAACTGATCAACAACGCCTACGAACCGACCACGGGTGATGGCATACCATTCCGGGGCCGCCAGCTCTTCGTCAATGGGACCGAGGGGCTCCTCGGGGACAACACTATACACTTCATTGGCGCGGTACGGCCCCGCGGTACGGAGGAGCGCAACAAGGGGGGCTGGAAGGCCAGTGCCAGCGGGAGTGCGCAGCGCGGGTGCAGTGGTCGCAGGAGTGCTTGCGGTGTCCGAGGGGGCAGGCGGGGCGGCTGTGGGAGGCGCAGGGGTAACCACAGCTGCAGGGGCGGGTGTTGCAGGGGCCATGACGGGTGGTGCCACCGCCACGTAGGCGGGTGTTGCAAGGGGGAATACGATAAACGGGATACCGAGGACAAGGATACCTGGAATGCAGGAATGAGGCAAGAACAAGCATGTGAGATGAAGAACTGTTACCGGAGGGTTGCGACGCTGCAACAGCAGGGACTGGCATGACTTGGGTGCGAGAATTGGTCATGGTGGAAAGAAGGAAGAAGCGAGGCCGAAGGATAGGCGAGGACCAACCGGCTTTTGAAGGAAATCGAGTGATAATGGGGATATGTGGTGTGACGGTGTTTTGTTTGTCTCACATCGTTTCGTTCACTAGCCACCGCCGAGGCTACAAAGATTAAAACAACCGACTGAAGTCAAACACTCCGAGTCTTGGTGAGCACAAAGTCGTACATCGCACAGCGTTTGGACTGACCAAGTTGGGCTTGAAAATTTAGCTCTATTACTTTGTCATGGTGGCTTCTGCAGAGACTAGACGCGGTGCACGGCGGAAGGGCGGCCAGTGGAAGCGTGTAGCGCGAAAGGACCGCCGTAACCTCAGGTTGTGGGCGGAGGGGGCACGAGAAAGCATTTTGAAACCTCATATCCCAGGATACACCGATGCCTTGGAGCGCGGATGGCGTGCAGAGCGAGACTATCTTCAGCGTGTCTGCAACGAGTTCCACGCGAAGATTCCCTGGCGTATGGCAGACCACGAAGACCCTGACTTGCCCTTGCCGGAGTATGACGAATTTGCATTACCAGCAGTGGAAGACTTGGATGAGGACGAAGTAACTGCAAAGCGTTTGCGCATCGAGACAATGAACGCGGTGAGTAAATTATGGTTTGATCGGCGACCACGCGTGACACTGATCAAACTGAACTTTCGCAGTGAATTGCTCGTTGGCTCAAATATCGTGCTCAGCGCCTTAAGCGTCCCCTCAAAATGGACCGAAGTCGTGATCCCTGGGCTATGTTGCTGTTGAAACTGGCTGGTATCAACTCTCCGCCAAAGGCACGTCAGGCATTCCAGCAGTATATGCACGAGTCTTATGAGACGGAAATTCTGCCTGCTGTTACGGCCCGCTGGGCGGCTAGTTTCGTGGAGAAGGATGGTGTTACCCTCAAGTCCAGTACCAAACCCAATGCTCCTTTCCGGGCAAAAGTCGCTCGTGAATTGTTTGCGGAGGTATCTGTGAGCGAGCAGGCAGCTTTGCGTCAGCGGGCGAAGGACGACGCAAAGGCTGCAAAGGAGGAGTATGCCGCCGCACTCAAGCGTGGGCCTTCCAAGACGCCTGAGGATCGGCAACGGTACGTGTAGCTTGGTTTTTCAGACAAAGGGCGGCGAGTTGATTATAACTCACTCAGATGTATCAATAATCTGGGCACTTTCATGTCCGCTGTTCTCAGGGGAGTCTGCGAACACACTGGGCTGCACTCGGTCGTAATATTTGGAGGACCTATGCCTCAATTTGGAGGGGAGCTCAGAACTGCCCAGTATGTGTATCTGTCTTTTTGATTGTCATGAAGGAGATAAATCTAAATGTGCTGCAGTGTCTCTTATGGCCGCAACCACGATGCTTCTCCCTGCCACTTTCCTAACTGGAACAAGGCGCGCTTCAACAGGGACGTGCTAGAATTTATGAAGGAGTATTTACGGACTGCATTCAGTGAGTGTACATGAGTTAATGTACCGTACGGCAAGTTAACATTCTACCAGCTCCTGCGGAGTGCACGGAAGCCGCTCTTCCTGATGCTGCTGATATGGTAGTCGACCCTCCCTCAGCCGAGATGCTGACATCAAATCTTGGATTCGGCGACGACGGCGAGGCAGGAGGATCGAATTCGGACGAGTCAGACTCTGACGATTCAGAGGGCGCGAGTGACACCGAGAGCGACACGGACAGTGAACTGGAGGGAGACCTGCTGGATGTGGATACGGTCAAGGGATGGACAGGGAAGGGGAAACGGAAACGGGATGAGAAGGAAAAGCGGCCGAGGAAGAAACGTCGGGAAGTGAGTGGTGCACCCTCCACGTCCACACCACAAACGAGCAGTGCCTTGCCCCCTCCGCCTCCCGTCCCCGTCCAGGAGATGTACATGCCAGAGACCGTCATCGAACAGCTGGCGCGAGAGAGGGAGTACAATATTGCATGCAACAATGCGGCGCTGAGGCAGCTCAACGAGGATAACGGAGGAGATGGCCCGGGGTTGTGGGACGGATTGGGGAAGGGGAGAAAGAAAAAAAATACGGCCAGCAAAAGTAATCGGGCGCCCAGAGCGGCTGTGCCGACGCGACGTTTGGCTCGTTGCCAAGAGACGGACTCAGGTGAATATAATATACTTATTCTACGCACGGAAGATGGGTTAACTGATGTCATTCACAGGCAATGTGGAAATACAGGAGACCGCTGGCACCAGTGTAGTCGCACGCCATCCCTCGCCCCAGAATGCTGCATCGGTGGTGCCGACGTCGAGCACCATCCTCTCGGGCCTGCCAGCGACGCCGCCGACAACGAATGTGGTGAATACGGCAAATATGATTGCCGTACCTTTGTCCTCTTCCCTGCCCCTGCCCCTGCCCAATATGGTGGGTGCCGTTGCATTGCCCTTGTCCTCGTCCCTGCCCGCGCCCCCGCCGAATAGTTTGGCAGGAAGCACAGCACTGGCACCACCGCAGCCAGCGTCCCCGCCACTGCCCGCCGCGTCGTCCCTGCCGACTACTGCGGCAGGAAGCACGACGCTTGCTCCCCCGACTAGTGCGGCAGGAAACACGGTGCTTGCACCACCGCACCCGTCTGCCAATAGTAGAATTGCGGGCGGGACTCCTACCAGTAACGGTGTTGCTCCACCCACAGGAGCTGCGCAGGCAGAGTACCTGCGGACAGCACGCCCTCCGCCGGCAGGCATGAGCGGTAGTCCAACGTCGGCTGATACGCCACCAGAGTCGGACCCTTCGGCCAAGGATGGCGAAGGGGGCGAAGGTCGCCCACAGCCCATACCACCCTGCCCCTCCAACGCCGCAGCATGGTTTGTCACGGTGTACCCAGAGATCTCACGCATGGATTTGGGGGTCACCTTCAATGCATTGCTCAAGGTTCTCATAGAACTTGAAGAAGCTTACAATTGGGCAAATCCAGGTGGAAAGGGACTCGGGACGATGAACCGGCTGGCGCAAATCGCCGCGTGGGTGGCAGCTGGGTGGGGTTCGCGCGGAGGGAGCGTTGCAAACGGAGTTGGCCCTCCCATTCGCTCCATCGCAAGCTTTGCGACTGCGTTTTGGCAGTGGTGGGGCCAGCTTCAGCCCAGGTGGTGAGCTAGGGATGGCGGGAGATTCGCTCGGGACCGATATCCAGCGGGGGGGCTCGAGAGCTGGAAGAGTCTCCACCACGCAGGTCCCAATGGCGCGCTGAGTCTTGTTGTGGCGCTGTATTGGTGGGGAAAGAAAATACAGATGGAGGGCGAGGGCGAGGATTCGGAGTCGTGGGTGGAAGCCGTGATCGACGTGAAATGGATGTTGGATGGCCTACTACAGGCTTAGCGGAACGGTTGACACGAACGCACTCGGACACACTTGTTTATGCCGTGCCTCCTTAACAGCACGTATGATCTTGTTTGGAGATAATTTGATTTGAATAGTTGGTTTTTTTAATCCAGTGTGTTTTCGTGTTTTCGAATGTGACCTGAGCGACCAACTAACAAAAAGCAAATGGAGATGCACCCCATCAAAGTCGAATCTTGATCGGCGGGTAACCGAGTTCGAGTTCTCGGCGAGAGCATATGGTTGAAAAGAAGGTTTTTTTTCATTTTGTTGTCGAGTTGTAGTAGATAGTAAGAATTAATTTTATTTTAAATGCTCAGTCAAAGGTGTCCACACAAGGTCTTCCACTGTAATTAAGGAAGATCTAGTGGTGTAGTGGTAACACATTCCGGTATCATACTCTGGACGGTATTTTCCGGGAGATCCCTCGTTCGATTCAGGGCTAGGTCATCAAATGTTTTTCTTATATGCAAACTATCTGAATTTTTGAAAGTCAATTACATTGTAAACATGAATTTAAGTGCAGGTGGAGGTGTCCCAAAAAATGATGGGAAAGTGGCGGGCTGGGTGCGGGTTTGATGCGAGGGTTGATGGCGGGGCAGGGAATCCAATCCCATCAAATATTGATGGCATGCCAAGAGGGTGATTTTTTGATCTCACAGTCCTGCTATCATATCTAATGACAACGGGAAATAGCCGCAGATATTGATGGTACGTGCCTAAAAAGGGAAATCAAAGGCACCTAAATGAGGAGGCCAGCGCCGTGAAGGCCGGACAAAAGGTAGGGGCTAGCCAGGCCTCTGGTTGCATCCACTGTGGGAGGCAAAATATGTTTCTGGCTACAGCCAGGCATTTTAGGCTAAATCTTACAGCTACGGCTCACAGGTGCCTTTCAATCTAGAAGTGACGCGACTCTCCACGAACACAGCTTAAGTCCTTTAAAGCTTTATATGCCAACAAGACCACTTTATATATTGAACGATAACACCAAAGATAGTTATATAACGTATCTCCGCGCTAGGCTCAGACCAGCACCAACACCGTTACCTTGGTGGGAGATGCAGTACTGAATCGCGGGTTTTGCTAGGCTTTATATACGATACAGGAATTGTAGATAGTAATGAGAGATGAGTCAAGATATAAGAGAGATTTGACGTACACGGAACTGCGGAGGTATGACACTGGTATTCGTAGTACGAGGCCAAGGCTAGTCATCTAGATTTGACCAGCTCGAACCCATACTAGGTATATTGGTTTGTTCCCGAGGCCTGCCAGTCCTAGCACGTATGCTAGCCGGACACACACCCCAACTGCTTGCCGCGCGACCACGTAGGTCGCAGCCTATTTCTAGTTCTCTATTGGTCGATGTGACTGTAAGGGCAACCTCGAGGCCCGAGGATACTCAAGAGTCCTAGTGAGGGAGATCCAAAGTATATGAATAAGTACACAATGATACAGGAAAGTATAGCGCACCTAGCGAGGGAGATCCAAAGAGAAGAAACTCTGAGGATTCCCACGCCAGAGCGGAGTCTAAATAGCTACTGTACAGAGACATGTGACCGGAGTGATCGGCAGAGATCCCGGGCTTGATCACAGGCATGGTGCCATCGGGAGATACCAGAGGGGCGTCGGTGGGGGGTTCCCCTGACATCACCCCCCCCTTGGAATGCGGCGCCTCGACACATGGACCGGACATGGAGGGTAGGGTCGCGGAAGGGGAGAGAGTCGAAGGTGGCAACAGAGATGGAGCGCGGAGCAGTCGGATGTGTTCGATAGTACTCTGCGACAGCTTCTGGAGCGAAGACGTCGGAGTGTTTGACCCACTGGTTATGCGAAACATCATACCCTTTGAAGGACACCATGTAATACAGTGACTTCCAGCGGATCTTAGCATCCAAAATCTTGTCGATCTCCCATTCTGGAGCGTCCCCAGGCACTCTGGTAGAATCGGAGCAGGCTCATCGTAGCCCGGACGTCCTGGGAGGGGGTCGTCTTCTGCGAGTTCCAACTTCACCACTGGAAAGACTGGGTGAAGCCGGGAGAGACGGGGGGGCAGCTCCAGCTTGTAAGCACCTCGACCGACAACCTTAACCACCTTGAAGGGGCCAAGGCGCCGGTGCGAGAGACCCTGCGACGGACGGGTGGTCTGGATGTCTGATGCGTCAAGCCAGACACGGTCACCAACCTTGATGTCCGGAGCTGGGGTGCGCCTGCGGTCGTAGTACCGCTTGTACTCCTCCTTAGCCTTCACTAGTGCGGCTCGGGCTTCAGAGACGCCAGAGGCGATCCGGTCGCGGAATTCGTTTGCTGACTCCACCTTCGAGTGTACTCTGGTCGGCTCAAACCCCATCCGGGGGAGCCGCCCAGTGTCGGTCATGAACGGGACCTGCTGCGTCGAAGAGTGGATGTGGTTGTTGTAGGTGAACTCTGCGGCCGGCAAGAGGTAGTCCCAGTCGTCCTGCTTATAATTGGTGAATATACGCAGGAACTGTTCCATCTCTTGGTTAACGCGCTCGGTCTGCCCGTCAGTCTGCGGATGGTACGCAGTGGAGGTTGCCGGAGTGATTCCAATGAGGCGCCAAAGCTCTGTGGTGAACTCCGCGATGAACTGTGGACCACGGTCAGAGATGTACTTCTCTGGCGTACCATGGTGCCTCCAGACGTTCCGGTAATACAACCGGGCAGCCCCGATGGCGCTGATGTGGGTAGTGCACTCGTTGAAGTGAGCGCGCTTACCGAGAACATCGACCACGACCATGATGGCATCGTAGCCATGCGCCTCTGGGAGCTCCACAACAAAGTCCACCGAAACTGTGTGCCAGCGCTCTGGAGGAATCTCCGTTGGGTACAGCTCTCCAACCGGAAGCTTCCGGAGCGCCTTGGTGCGGCAGCACAGGTCGCAGGTCGCCACATACCGACCGACATGTCGAGACAACTGGGGCCACCAGTAGTTCCGGGAGACAAGCTCCAATGTCTTGAAGCGACCGGCATGACCGGCAATCCGGGTGTCGTGGTGCTGCTCCAGAATCCGGCGACGAAGGTCGTTGTCTCGAGGGACAACAAGCTTGCCACGGAAATAGAGGAGACCGGAGGAGACGTGCCACTCAGCGCTCCGGGAGGAGCGAGCACCCCGAACCTTGAGAAGTTCCCGGGCCACGAGAGCGATGGGGTCTTCAAGGTCTGGTTTGCCAGCGAGAGCTTCTCAGATGTCGCGGAGGATTGCAACCTCTGGACCAGAGACAGCAAGGCCTTCGATTGCATGGAGGTGGAAGAGCTGCGGACTCAGGAGGGTGACGTCCTGGTTGTCCGGAGCTGACCCATGGTCTGGCTGCCGAGAGAGGGCGTCTGGACGTCCCATAAGCTTTCCGGGCTTGTGATGAAGCGTGAAGTCGAACCGAGACAGGTACAGCGACCACCGTGCCTGTCTTTGGTTGAGGTTTTGCGACTTCCGGAAGTACTCCAAGTTCTTGTGGTCGGTCCAGATCTCAACCGGATGCTGCGAGCCCTCGAGGAAGTGTCGCCACTCCTCGAGCGCTCGGACGATTGCGAGCATCTCCTTGTCGTGGATCTCGTAGTTGCGCTGGACCGGTGACAAGCTCTTGGAGAAGAACGCCACAGGGTGCCACTTTCCATCAGAGCCTTCTTGCGAGAGAACGGCTCCTGAGGCAAAGTCGGAGCTATCTGCCTCTAGTCGGTACATCCGGGACTCGTCTGGAAGGATGAGGACGGGGTCAGAGGTGACCGCATCTTTGAGAGCTTGGAAGGCGACGGCCTCAACGGCAGTCCAAGCCCATACCTTGCCCTTCGCCGTGAGGTCAAAGAGTGGCCGGGCAATATCAGAGAAACCACGGATGAACCTGCAATAGAAGTTTGTGAAGCCGACGAACTGCTGCACATCCTTCTTGTTCTCTGGAGTAGGCCATGCGGCGACCCCAGCGACCTTGACTGGGTCCATCTCGACGTGGTTGTGTGAGATGATGACACCGAGGTACTTAATTGATGATTTCTCAAACTCGCACTTCTCCGGGCGCAAGTACAGCTTGTGCTCCCGAAGCCGCCGGAGCACCTCCCGGACGGTCTCGCGATGCCGGGTAAGGTCTGAGTGGGCAATGAGAATATTGTCGAGGTATACCATGACGTCTCCGGACATGATGAGATCCTGGAAGATGTCATTCATCATGGTCTGGAAGGTCGCGGGGGAGTTCGTCAAGCCGAAATACATCACCAGGGGTTCAAAGAGTCCCCGGTTAGTCCGGAATGCGGCCTTCCACTCATCGCCCTTTCGGATCCGGACGTTGTTGAAACCCCACCGAATGTCGAGTTTTGTGAAGAACCGGGCGCCTTTCAAACGATTGATGAGGTCGTTGATCAGCGGAAGGGGGTACCGGTTCTTCACGGTCATTGCATTCAACGTCCGGTAGTCCTGAACAAACCGGAGACCTCCGTCCTTCTTCTTGACGAAGAAGACCGGAGATGCCATTGGAGATTTTGATGGCCGTATCCGGCCGGTCGCAAGGCCCTCCTCAATGAACGCGTCGAGCTCGCGCTGCTCGAGGGGTGAGATCGGGTAGACCTTACAGTTGGCAGGTTTCACATCCGGAACGAGTTCGATGGCATGGTCCCAGGTCCGGCGCTCCGGTAATGAGTCAAACGACTCCCGATTGAAGACATCCTCGAACTCGCGCACCCACTCAGGAAGTGGCTCCTTACCGGATGCAGAGTTCTTGGCGTGGGCCTCTGCCAGGCATTGCGAAACCGTGGCAGTGGCCCGGATGTCTTCTGGAGGAGAGAACGTGGTGTAGAAAATGCGATCCCCATCCTCGATCGGGTCGTCCTCATCGTCGGAATCATCGGAGTCGTTCGGAGACAGCTCCGGTAGCTCATCCTCGCCGGAGCGGAGGTCTGTGTCTACAGCACAGATATGAGGAACCGGACCAGCACGGAGTTGCCTCAGGATCAAAGCGGCAGTTTTGGCATGCTGGCGCTCGACCTTCAACTCGTCGCGGCAGGTCGTGCAGACCGAGGGGCATCGACTCATTTTAACCTCGCGGGTTTCCCAGTTGATCTCCGGGTTGTGCTTCCGGAGCCAGGAGAACCCGAGGATGAGCTTCTGCTTGCCGAGACGGGTGACAGCCAGTACCGTGCGCTCACTGTGTGACTTGTACCGGATTATGAGGTCCGCAACCTCTCGGATAGCCCCGGCCTCATTTGGAGAACCATCAACGTTGAAGACTGGGATGGGACGAGATAACCGGCAGAGCAGGACCTTGTTTTCTGCAGCGTACTCCGAGTCAATGAAGTCGGAGGTAGCGCCACAGTCCACAAGTCCGGACAGCGAAAGTTTGACAGCATCATGGGTGGACTCTATCTTGAGGGGTAGATGAAGGGAATTTGCACCGGCCTCAGCGGCGATTGTGAAGCTTTTGGGGAGCTTGCGCTCCCACATAGGC